GAAAAAAAAAGAAAAAAAAAGAAAAACATTTAAAGAAAATGGATGCATAGCTAATCATCAAAAAACATTCACCTCTATAAAAGCAGCAGGTTTGTCTGTTTGCTGCTCTGGAAAGGATTAAAGTTAATTTCTAAACAATGTGGGGTCCATCATTCTAAAGTGAGAAGATGTTTCACAAGTGTGAAAAAAAAAATAGGACAGCTGCCACTCTTCCCTGGAGTGATCGTCCCAGCAAAGTCACTCCAAAGCCAGAGTGATGCTCAGGGAAAAGACAAAATAAAAACAAAAATGTAATTGCTCCATCTCAGACTCTACAAGCTTCAGTTAGCAGGTTAAAGAGTTAGAACAATTAGAACAAAAGACTGAATAAGTATGGTGTTTTTGGAAGGGTTGCCATTAGAGAACCTTTTCGCTCTAAAATGAACATTACCCTAACAGAGCTGTGCAGAAACAAAATGTCTGCAAGCCTCAATGAACCGAAGCAGTATTGTAAAGAAGAGTGGGCCAAATGCCTCAACAGCCATTCAATAGACCGATAAAGTCGTACAGAAAATGACTGCRTTACGTACATAGTGACTAGAAGCACTCAGAGAGTGCAAACCTCTGCCAAAACCAATTTCCCCCATCCTGTAAGAGTTAATGCACAAAAGCAGAGATGGAAACACATTTGCTGAATAAGTTCTGACGTAGCGAACATTTAAGCAGGCAGTATGCACGGGATTTCTTCTCGGTGGAGTCCAATGTGGAAAAAAAAAAGTCAGACTCGTCACCCGACGTTATTCATCGTCAAACTGGTGTCGGATTAAGCTCCTAAGTTTTCATCAGTCACATTTCACCATRKAAAACRTCTGTTTTATCCCCTTGAATGAGTTTRTAATGGTTTGACTCTCTTTATAAAGYGCTTCYTGGCTCCCCCCGTCTCCAAACTTTGAGGCCCRGCAGCTCTCTGTTTACAAGCCTAGTAGAGAGAAACTGTTTTGATTGGTTGTTTCGGAAATATGGTGTGTTTGAGGAAATGGGAAAAATAGGTTTTATGGTGCAGTCACGCACTTCCTGATCACAAAACATTCTCTAAATGCGCACCAAATGTGTAAAAATGTGCACATTATGGCAAAATATAATTCATTTTAAATGTGGTTTTAACATTACTTTTATAAA